ATATGTTTATATGTCTATTATTATGATCATGATCATTGCCTGCATAACACAATTTATATACAAAATTGTTTTTTAAAAACATTCTAGATAATAATATCCCCGTGCATCGCACGGGTGACTACTACTCCCTCCTATTCATAATAAGTGTCGTTGTGGAAAGTTGCACACTAATTAAAAATAATTTTTTTGCCAATAATAACCCTCATTAATGAAAATAGAGATGGATGTTTTAAAAAAAAGATTAAGAGAATATGAAAAGACGTAGTGTATTTATTAACTAAATGAGGGTAATAATGGAAAAATATGTACAAAAGATCCAAAACGACATATATTTTGGTTAATAGTTGATAAAGCCAAAATGACATTTAAAAAGAATAGGAGATAGTAGTATATATATAAAATATTTGATGAGTTAAAATCGAATAATTGTACCAAAAAAAATCGAATAATATCGGGAGCCGACGGCCCTCTCATAAACGCTCGCAACATGCAAATGAAAAGATTGTGGGAAAGACTTGTGAAGAGAAGGGCAAAACACGCTTAGCTTTATCTTTACAGCGTAATCACGCGTCAAGATTCTTGGGCTTATACAAGCTACTAATATTGCATGCTTATTAGTATTATATAGAGGAATTAATAATGGGTGCAAAAGTGGAAGGTTTGGTGAGGGGATTGGATTTTCGAGGCAAAGCACAAACTTTTATAGTGCATGATATTGACATTGAAGCCTAAGGATACTTGATACACGATATTTTTTAAAAAAATCTAATTATTTTTCAAAAAACTAATTTTTTTAATTTTAATTTAACTTAACTTTAACTCAACTTCACTATCCTCAATATTATCAATATAATATAATAATATTAATCAATAATTCTTGTATTACATCAACTTTAATTAACTATTTATCCACCCACATAATTTTAACTAACCATAACTTCACATCATCTTTTTCATACTTTGATATCAAATAAAGTTAATTAATTTAATTTTAAATATTATTTTAATATAAATTCAAAATTAGACTAACAACTAATTATACCACCATTTTCAAATTGACCAAACAAATTCAAAAATCTAAACAAAATAAAAAATTTCTTATATCCAAGCATTCACTTAAGTGGCGATTGGATATAAATAAATCAATTTTGATTGGATTTAATTTGGTAAAGTGGGTTATTATGAATAAAGCTGAATGAGTAAAAGAACTTGAGTAAAATTTTGAGTTCATATTTAAATAATATTTAAAATGTAATGATAATTAAAGTTGAGGTAATGTAAAAGTTTGATAGACGTATTCGAAATGATATGTAGTTAAAATGTGAATGAATGAATAATAGATTAAAGTTGATGTAATGTGTAGGGATAATTGATTTATATTATTATATTATATTGATAATATCAATGAGAGTTGAGTTATATTAAAATTGAATTGGATTTTCAATTAAAAAATAAGAACAAATTATTTTGTTAACCAAAACCGATTATAATGTGCACCCAATGGCCCCTAAATCAATAATTTAAATCACGATATATCTTGTCAACTCAAAACAAGTATGTAAAACAAATTGTTTTCTTATGTTTGATGCTATATTGTAACGGTGCAGTATGAAGCTAAGTAAAAATTGTGAAAACATACATAAGTTATTAATTAATAAAATACCACAATAAGATGTAACTTATAAACTGTAAATTATATATATTCTTGTTTCTTTGTGTTACATAAATGTTGTCCAATAATTATGAAATGAATAGTATTTTTATAAAGAATATATTTTTATAATTTATCTCATTAAATTAAAAATAAAATATATCTTTTATAAAAAATACTATTCATTTCATCTTTTATTTTTATATATAATCTCACAATTACACTTAACAAAATAAAAAGAGAACTATTATTATATACCTCTCAATAAAAAGTATTATTAGTCCACTTCATGTTTCAATAAGAAAATATTGTTAGTCTTTCAGTTAAAGTTGTATTATTATTGTATCACAACGATTTCATTCATTATAATTTTTATCTCATATTCATTTAGAATCTCAAATTTATTTAGCAATTTATTATTATTATTATTATTATTATTATTATTATTATTATTATTATTANGTTATTTCTTTTGAGTGTTAATTGTTATCGGGACATGCCCTCAAAACTGCTCTTCGTGGAAAGATCTCAAGATCGACTGTTGAAAAACTGGTCACAACATAAATTTTCAAATCACATTACGAAATTCCTGTACGGGGTGGTTGTAATTAAGGTAGTAGTTGTACATTGACTTCAACGTTTGACAAATAAAAAATCCCGTACCATTATTTCTGGGACAAAAACCTAATCTGACTATTGAGAAAAATCTCATTAAAAATCTGTAGCTTTGATTTGAGCCGTGGTCAAATGGATTAACGATATTTTTTTTCATATGTAAGGGTTTGCATTCTTCAAATGAAGATGAAGATTAATCAACTAGGATAATGCCCGTGTATTACACGTAGAGTGTTTGTTTAGAAATTTATATTTAAAGTTAAAAATAATAATAAAAAAATTATTTTAATTTCCAAATATTTTTTTGAATAACTATATTACTATTTATATTTAAAATAACACACATCACTTATACGGCTTACCGTCTTATATTATAATTTTTTTTCTAAATAATACCATTTAACAACTTTGTAGTTAAATTGATTTAAATAATTTTATTTTTTAATTAATACTAATATATAATTAAATTTATATTATAAAGAAAAATTTATTTATGTATTTATTTTGTATGTACAATATAGATGTCAAATNACGGGTGCAGTCCCACGCACGTGAAGCGCACAATGAAATGGAAAGCACAGACTAAGCACAACTGGAGTTCCATCCCAAAACCAATTGGTTCTAATTGGTGGAAGGAATAGCCCATTAGACTTATAAATTAAGTCTATTTTCCCTATATAAACAATGTGGGACAACTCACAAGTGAATATTCTAATAAAAAATAATATTAATGCTCTTAAAAAAGTAGCATAAATATCTAGTTTATTCATGGTTATTTCAAACAATGGCGGATCTACATTAAGACCAGCCTAAGCAATTGTCTAGGCTGGAATTTTTGTGCTAATACACAATTTATATAGTTAAAATAAAAATTTTATATTTAATATTTGTAAAAATATAAATACATTTATTTATTTTAAAATTATAAATAATTCTTACAAAATAACATTATTTTTCTATTTAAAATGATACACCTCACCTGTCAGATTCGACAATCTTATATTACATTAGGCTTGACAGATGAATTTATTGTTTTTCAATTATAATTGATGGGTATTTAAATTTTTATTAAGAGAGATCAAATAGATATAATTATTTTAATTTATATATACGATATAAATGTCAAATTATAGATCGTCAAAATATGACTAATTTCATTTATCATATATAAAAAACAATAACAAATATAAATGTTATTAACATTTAAAATATATTTGCAATTTAAGTTAGCCAAGCGTTCAAATTTGAAAATTCTAGATAAAGATCCATATTTATATGGACCATTTTGAATCCTTAGACACTAAGAAATAGAATTGCAAAGTGTTGGTAGTTGACAATGAAAAACTCTAATAATAAGATAATCCATAGGAACTCTTTATAAAATAACAGAAATACAAATGATGACATTTAAGTTTTTCTTAAATTAATAATTTTTTATTACAAAAAATGAAGGAAAAGTGATTATAAAATATTTTTAGTATATTTTTTTAACAATAATAAAAATGCGAAATCAAATAACCAGACTTTATTCTCCACTTCATTTTTTAGTGTAAAGTCAATTTGAATAGAAAACACATCAAGACCCAATTGTTTAAATGATTTATTTAATTGTTAATATAAGTATTTTGTGCAATATGATTAAAAAAAATCAACTATTTTTTTGCCCAAGCTAATGAAAATTTCTGGATCCACCGCTGACTTCAAACCTAATTATTTTTGGATTGTGAGTAAATTAAAATTCATGCAAGCCAAATGACAAAGCATAAAAATTACCACATATGATCTCGAAGCATGCAAGTCTGCTACTTAGACTCAGCACATTCAGAAATTATATATAGAGAGATTTATTAATTCCAGTCAACACTCGAAGCATGCGAGTCTGCTACTTAGACTCAGCACATTCGGAAATTAACTATAGAGAGATTTATTAATTCTAGTCAACACTCGAGCATGCGAGTCTACTACAGACTCAGCACATTCGGAAATTATATATAGAGATATTTATTAATTCCAGTCAACATCAGCATAATATTGAAACTTTTTGGTGGTAAGCCACCGAATTAGTAATCACAATTAATAGATATTAAATACATTCATGGTTGTCCGTATGATTCGTTTACATTTTCTCACGGATTATATGAGATACATGCCCAATTAAATTTAATGTGTTATTTAACAAACATGCATGGTCAAATTCAATCTAATTTAAAAACAATTGTTTCCATAAAATACTTCTGCCCGAGCGAACTAAAAGAACGCAATTTCATCACGAGGACGCGGTCACGGAAGAATATATACATATACATACATTTAGTGAGAATTTTTAGAACGTTTTTGCTACTAAAATTGAAAATTTTTCTTCTCACAAAAAGCCATTAATATATTACTATTCTTGTTTGGAACGATCTAGTCGTTAGACGCGCTGATCAATTATATTATTTTTTTTTAATATGAAAATACATAATTACGATATGAAATGCCACGTGAAAGTTTTAGAGTTTAAACTGAGCAGATTAAACCCAAAAAGGGAAGTACCACCAAGAATAAGTCGACTGCCAACATTCAATGAAGAAGAATTTCACCTCAAATCAAGCAGGACAGTGGAAGATTCTTAACCTAATTAAGCCATTAATCATTTATTGTTATTTTCAAATGGCATACCGTTGAAAATTTATAGGTTATCGGCATTCAAACATTTCCC